AGTCTGGACAGTGCCGTAAGCGAGCTAACTAGCCTTTTCTGCTAAAGATGTCATCATCAGACCTTGATCAAACGTGGCTGGTTTGTTTGTTTACAGTTTTGTGACTCACTCTTCCAGCATGCCGAGCACGAACCTGACAGAGAAGTAGAAATATAAAAAAAAATATTTTAGCGCCTACTTTTGTTCAAAGGAGTCTGGCAGAGGTTGGTCAACATATCTATTGTCTGTGTTATTAGCTAGTCGATTTAGCGAGCTGGGGAGGGGATTTGAAAGAAATTAGTCAATGTTTTCAGTGGTCCAGATGAATTCCTTGGATTTTGCTGAACACGAGTTGTAGTTTAGATGGGGGTCGGTATCAACTAATCGCTTGTATCTTGTGACTTGTTTGCTCGTTAATCATCAGTCCTGAGGTGGTGGTCGTCGCTGACCAGATCATCGGTGGTCACGGCTTGTAAATGTAGTTTACGACTGAATTACTGTCTGTTCTGTTGGGTAGTTCTGCTCGAAATACTTGCGTTTTCTCATTATTTTCACCAGAGTTTGAGTTACAGGTTTTTTAGTTAGTTAACTAACTGAAGAACACAGTTTATCCAACATGCAATGCAGCTAAATGAGACTAAAGCTAATGCTACTGAGTTAGCATGGCTTTTCCGTGCTCATGTGTGTCACCTTTTCAGGGTGTTTCCCCCCTTCCTTTCAATCCAGAATGCTCGATCATCAGGTTATCAATAACACTTTACAGAAGCTGGCTCTTGCACCTTTACGTCATCAGCATCCTCTGCTTCAGTGTCCTTGAGCAGGACACAGGATGTCCTCCAGGGTGGAGGGGCTGACAGTGTTCTGTGAAAGTAATAATATAAAAACAGAGGGAATCCTATTGAAATCAACACCGCACCAGGAGCTAAATCAATCATACCTAGGGTGAAATATAAATACATGCAAAGTATATTTTATTTTGTAAACAATTAATCACAAACTGTATATCCTAAATGCACAAAAATAAGTATAGAAATTATACCAGCTGCCTTATAATCATCAAATGTATAGTGTAAAGTTACTAACTTAAATTACCAACAATAAGTCAGACTTTCTTGTAAACCTTCAAGGAGATGTTAAATGATAATTCTTCAGGATTTCTTAAGGTCTTTTAAAGACCTTCTGTGGAATGTGGCTCATTCTTACTCCTTTTATTTTTGTCCAGTCTTTGTACCTGACCAGCTTTTTGTTTAGTGTGTGATTATTAAATGATGAAAGTGGACAAGTAGAGGACAAAAAAAGAGACCCATTCACGTAAAATTTAACAGTATTTGAAAATACATATTAAGAAATAACAATTTACAAATCAGCAAAGATCTTACGCAGAACCTTAAGAGATGGTTTAACATTTACTGTGTTTTCAGCTGATGACACTTAAGGAATCATCTTTTGGTGCCAAAAGACTATCTTTGTATTTGACAAACTACATTATGTTTGGTATTTTTCATTTCAAATCATATTTTCAGATAACCAGCAACTGCTTAATTCTTGTGTTAAACTCAACAAAATAAAACAAATTCTCACCTTTTTCTTAACAATTTTAACCATATAGTTTCAGACAATTTATTTTGTTTTGCAGATGATAATAAAGGATTAATTATTTCAGTAAGGTGAGTTTTTGCTATATAATGTACATGTCTTTTTACTGAAATATGATTTTTCTTTTTACTAGTGTGTATATTTGAGAGATGTGCTCTGAGAACCCAGACGACTTTGGACAAGCTGTGGTACTTGATGATGATCAGCAGGAAATTGGAGGCCTAATTAACTCTGATGGGGAAGAAGTGGAGTTCTTTGATTCCAGTGAGTGAATGAAGKTCATCTGAAAACACACAGTGTTCTGTTTGTGGTGGGCCTTTTCTTTAGCCTCAAGACTTCCAGGTCCACTTAGAGAAGAACTTACAATCTCACTACTGTCGTATTTTTTTAAGAAATTTGTTTAATTATTTAATCTGTTGTATTTCCTAAACAATTTTCAGAGCCAACACAATACATCCCCTGCCTGTTTTATGAATACACAAATGTACATAAATACATTGTCATTATATTACTTAAAATCATTTTACCTTTGCTCATTTAAAGTTTTGATAACTTATTACAATATTGAAGATAAACTCCAGGTTAATTTAGTTGGAAAATATTTTTTTCTTGTCGTAGGGATGGGTAGTGAAT